GCGGCGGCGGCCGCGAGCCGCGGGCCCGACTGGCAGGTGCTGCTGGGGCGCGCCGAGGCGCTGGCCCGCGGCGGGCGGCTGCACGACGCCTTCCAGCTCTACCAGCTGGCGTCCCGCCACCGGCAGCTGCGCGCCGAGCAGCTGGGCCGCCTCGTGGAGTGCCTGGCGCAGGGCGTCCGCAGCAGAGAGGGGCTGCCCGGGGCGCCGCCGCCCCGCGACTGGGACGTGTTCAGGTGCCGCAAGTGCCAGGGCTTCCTCTTCGAGCCCGTGTCGCTGCCGTGCGGACACACCTTCTGCAAAAAGTGCCTGGAGAGGGGCCGGGCGGCCGAGCCCCGCTGCGTGCTGTGCCGCGAGGAGGGCGGCGCGGCGGCCGGGCAGCTCCTGCGGGTCAACGTCATCCTGAGCAGCCTGCTGGCCAAGTGGTTCCCCGGGCAGGTGAAGGCGTCGCGGCTCCGCCACGAGGGCAACGCGCTCTACAAGGAGAGGAAGCTGCAGGCTGCGCTGCAGAAGTACAACGAGGCGCTCAGCCTGGGTAAGCGCGCGGGCCGGGGGGCGCGCGGGGAAAGTGGGTCAGGAGAGCAGCGCGTTGCATAAGCCCCGGAGCCGGCGAGTCCGGCCCGGGCGCCCTGCCCCCGCTCCCGGGCCGGTTGTGTAACCGGGGAGCGCGTCCCGCGGGCCGCCCCCGCGCCGCGGAAACCCCGCTGCCCCGCGCGGAGCTCCCCGGACCCGGGGCCCGTCGCGCAAAGGGCTGCGGGCGCAACGCTCCGTKTAGCGTCCCGCTGATTCCGACAGCCTGGGAAGGGTTTTACCTCCCGCTTAAGCGCTGTCACCCAAGTTACTCCGAAACTTCCGCGCGGCGGGAGCCTGCGCACGCCGCCCTAAACGCTCCCTTCGCGCCCCTCTGGCCCCTCGGAGCCTCTGTCCGAGCTCGGAATTTATTGCCCGAGTGTCTCGGCGTTTATTTATGCAATGTTCCCAGCCGTTATATAATGCGGAGCTGACATTTTGTCTGGAGTTGCCCAAAGAGGTTGCCATATTTAATTTAGTACATAGTTATTTAAAGAAGAGATATTTTGGCTTGTTTGTTTGTTTTTAAAGGAGTTCTAGGAAATAAAGCTTTTGTAAGTATTTCTTAAATAGTTGTAATAAGCCACTTTTTTTTTTTCCTATATGCTGCAGCTCCAAATGACCACTTACTCTACAGCAACCGGTCCCAGATTAACTCTACTTTGAAAGCTTGTGAAGATGCACTGCACGATGCAGAAACAGCATGCAGGCTGCAGCCGTACTGGCTGAAAGTAAGTGCTGACTTCAGCTGCACTTGCTTTTAAAATCTTTATGCTGCACCAGTTACAAAACCGTTATGTTGTTGAAGGAGAACTGAATTTGAGAGATGCTTTAAGCCTTGCAACTTCTTTGACTCCTGYGACTTCCAGACATTGAGCTATGGCATTCTTGTCCCTTCTGGTGTGAGGGAAGAGAATGATAAACTAGACAGACCCTTCCTGGAGGATGAGCTACTAAACTTTCTATTGTCTATATCAAGCTCACAAACAAGTTTTAAAAAAATGAGTGCTGTGCTTACATTTTTCTATAAGCTGTCATAGCACTAGTTTAGTACTTTTTTTCCAAAATGGAATATGAGTTTGCTCAAGTTTCAACTGTGTCAGTGACCAACTAGACTCAGGAAGATGATACTTAGTGGAGTTAGGGAATATCCTATTTATCTCTAAGAGCTGGTGTATTTGAAGACAGGACAAATTTAATTTATGTTTGCAAATCAGAAGCTAGTGGTATCAAGATGTAAGAGACTGTTGTAAGGAATTTTCTCTGCCTAACCTCTGGAAAGATCTTCTGTAAATTCATCTTGCTTTAATTGAATATTCTCACAGCAAAAGGAACAAAAGCTGCAATTGTGGATATATTTCATTTCAGGGACACTTAAGGAAAGGACAAGCGTTAGCTAATCTGGGGAAAACAGAAGAAGCATTAAGAGAGTTTCTGTTCTGCCTTGCTCTAGATACTGGGAACAAGACAGCCAAATCTGAGGCTCAAAAGGTGAGTTTCCTAAATTGCCTAGACCTGCTTAATCATTTTCAGTGATGTGTCGTAAAGAGGGAGGAGAAAACATTAAGCAGACACTGTGTGGAAACAGTTACGATGTTAGCATCAGCACAAGAGAGATAAAACGGAGTTGCTAATAATTGCCACCCACCGGTTATTATGATTGCCTGTAATCAAACTTCTAATCTGTTTCCTAGCTTGGCAGTGTGTTACCAATTATTGAGTGCAAAAGAGGGGGAGTTACTTGTTAATATTTTATCAGGCCACCGAGCGGTAGAACACAACGTGCAGCGCCCTTCCAGCTCCGCTTGGGAGCAGCAGCTCTCTTATTTCAGGCCTCATATGCTGCTCCAGGACTCAGTGTGCGCAGGGGAAAGGAATAAGCCAGTGAAGGAAGAAATATGCTCCAAAATTGTTTCAGTGTTTGCTAATACTTCATGCTAAATAGGCAGTATAGCAGATCTGCAATAAGCCTTTTTTGAGCAGCGGTCTAAGCTACAGTTTGTGGAATCTTTCACCTTTCTCCTCAGACAGGTTTGGTGACAACCGTTAGTTCTGTTTTGTACACCTCTTAAGAACTAGTTATGGTTTATTTTTTCTGGAAAGAATTGATGCTTTTACCTTTGACCATTTTTGTTGTTGCCAAATGACTTAAAATCACACCAAGGCTGGTTTTARATGTTATGCTCTGCCTTTGTTTTATTGAATTCTTTTTTTAAGGGCAGTGCATTCATGCTTTTGTGTGTGGCTGGTGGGATGGGAAGTTTTGGGCTTCTTAGTCCTGTGATGTGAAAGGCTTTTTAAAAGCTCAGTAGAATTCTTAGAGTAAAGCTCTGCTCATACAGSTAACTGAGAAAGTGTGGCCTGGGTGGCTGTGTTGCAATCAGATTTTGTATGTGGTTGAGATTTCCGTTTCCTGCAGGATTTTCTGTCGTTCTTTTTAGTCATTTTTTTTTTCCAGCATGTTCCACACAGTCTTTCACTATCATTGTATCATGATTTGTTCTGGTAGTCATGCTGGGAGGCTTTTTGTCTACAAAGTAAGAAAAGCAAGAACAACCAATATGTTTCTAAATTCAGACTCCAAATAGCCTTGTCCAAGAGAGCTAATTTCTGAGCAGTGGGGTTCTTAAGAAAACTCTGCTGCTTGCAACYGGAAGAATTGCTTGTGCACTCATCAGATGCAGAGTTCATCCGTGATGTAATATTTTGTTGGGTCATTTCCAAGGCTGTTTGCATAACAATGACATACTATTTTTTACCAAATTATTCAGGCGTAGCTATGACGTTCTGTTTGTGCTAGCTGTCCTTCCACGTTAGTTTTGACAGAGTATGATCCCGTGGAATCTTTTTGGCTTTAAAAGGAGATCTTGGCTATCACGTGGCTTCCTCATGTATCCACAGGATTGCAGGAGTGCCGAATTCTTTTAACGCATGTGAATCTTCCATTCACCTTTTTTTTTTTTTTCTCTCTATCTTTCTCTGCCTTTGACTAATCATCTGATGAGCTGTACTATAGTGCAAATGGCTACAAGTTGTTGATGCTGATTCACTTATTTTCTGATAGCAAATGGAGACTGTTTTTTTTTCACTGCCTTTTTTGGGGGGGGGGGGGTTGTCCCATAGTTGAACTTAGTTGTAATTTACAATGTTGGAGACAATTACTTGATTGAGCGTGGATTAAATGGGTGAGATTTCTGTACTAATTAACTCCACTGAAAGTTTCTGACATGCAGAAAAAGTGCATTTGAAAGGATGTTACTAAATCCTGTTGAGTTCTAAAATGCAGAATAGGAGGATATGTTTATGCCACTTATGTAGAATGCTTAATAATGTAAGAACTAAGCAGTGAAGTATTCTGTTTTATATCACAGCTTCTACTTAGTTTGTTTTCACTCATCCCGGGAAATGCTCAGGAACACTTACCTGATATCCTGCAGCTGTTGTCRCATCACTCTAGATTAAAGGGGAATCTCCTGAATTCAGTGGGATCTGGAGGCACCAGCCATAGCCTACAAAGGTTGCTCAAGGTAAAGAAATCTGATGTGCGGTTTTTAATTTGTGTTTTATGTTCACAGTGGTAAGTTGTCATCGTCTTTACATTTTTGGGAGACTGGATARTACATTTCTTTTTTTTTTTTYCCCCCTGAATTTCAAAATACACAACATAACTTAATGGATTCTCTTTAAATGACTCTTCTTTGTTAAACAGAATCTTTATTCTGTTTTTTTGTTGTTTTTTGTTTTGTTAGAATTAAGAAAGGTAAAGATAGCTGTAACTGTCCTTAGCTCTTCAAAGAAATGGGTAGTAAAGAGCCTCTGAAGCCTCTGAAGTGAAGTCRGTTGGAGAGAGTTCTCTCATCTCTCTGTATATACGAGGTCTCACCACAGCTTCTGATCATATGTACTTTGAGGTTCCTCTGGGGACCTGATGTGACAAGCTGATAGGTAATGGTCTCTGGAATGGCTGTTAAGTCATAGTGAATGATCATTTTATTCCTTGTGAAAGAAATCAGTCTTGCTGAAGGAGCAAGATGCACTTTCTCCTTTGTTAGTTTTCTGTTTCCTTAAAATAAAACTTGTAGTGCTTTGGTTGTTTTGATATTGCTGGTTGATACAAACAATATATATTTTCCGATAGACTAACTTAGCAATGTGTCRTACTGAGCTTTAATGACATTTCTGCATGAATCAAGTTTCATGCCCAATCCATAAAGCCCCACATAGAGACTGAAAAAATTCACTGACAAGATGGGAGAGGGAAGGGTTAGTTAGAAAAGAATTTTGGTTAAAATCAGACACTGACAAAGCATCTCAAACTGCTATGTCTTGACCTGCAGAGTCTTTCTTGTTACAGAGTGTTTGTTTATTTCCTTTAAAAGGATTTTGATGTTTTTAATGTTGAGCCTCTCTTTCTACAGATAAGTGTAGAACAGAAAAAGAATTTTCCCGCTCAAGAGGAACAAAATGTAACAACATCTGGCATTTTGAGGAAATCTGTACAAATTACAGAGAGTAAAAGGGACTGCTCAGGGGAGAACAAACTCGACTCCGTATCAGAGTCTGCCTTTCTCATTTCGGAGAAGTGCAACCTTCTGAAAAGAAAGTGTTGCTCTGAGGAGATGAGAGGTGCTGAGGTACCCTGCAAGCTCATGAAGAAAGGTATGTTTAATTTAGCACAGGATGAATTCCATAAAAGGTAAACAATGGATTTATTATGAATAAGCTTCAAATTAGACTTTGTTTTTCATATCTTGAATCTAGGCAAGGTGTGATGTAGAACTTGGGATGCTGCAACTGCAGCTTCCTTGTAAAAATAACTTTTAGCCTGAAAAGGGCTAAGAAAGTTGAGTCAAGTGATTGTTTATCAGAAGAGCTCTGGATCTTGTAGGATATAGGAAAGCTGTCCGTGCCTTTGGCACTTTCTTTATCAAGTAAAATAAGTAAGTTATGCTTAAAAGCATGAATTCTGTTTATGATATCTAAGATCTAGCCTTGTTCTCATGCTGTGGGATGTATTTACAGTGGCATGATAGAAGAATTTGTCCCATTGTAGACTTTTAACACTAAAATATATTTTGATGGTAATGCAAGGCTAAATTCATCCTTCTGTTAGTGGCCATAATGCCACAAAAATTAAAGGGAGGTGTGCTAATTTGCGCTGGATTTGATGCTTTGCATAGGAATTATTCCCATGATGCTAACAGCTCAGTAACCTGCCAGTAAATACAAAACACATTTGAAATACCAAATGTTTTCTGTGGGTATGCAGAAGAAAAATCTCTTTGAAATTCTGCATTGCTTATGCAGTTGTGTCCAATTGTAATATGTTTTATTATTATTGATAGATACAGTTGATATCAAGGGAAGTAGTGCTGCACACCATATTCCATTTGAATTTGTGGATCCATCAGATCTGGACTGCTCCCTGTGCATGAGGTAATCATTGTTCTCTCCCACATGTCTTTAGTTCTCAAGCTTTATCTCTTGTGATCTGCAGCTTTCCTAGCTTGCTTATTTTTCTTCTGACTTGAAATCTGCTTATATTACAATGATTATTCCATTAACATGTTTCTTGTTCTTTGCTTCTGAGCACTGTTGATGAATACAAACTATTTGATCTAGTGATGGTTAAAGAAAAGACAGATATGGTCATGTGGGGGCTAAGCACATTAGTGAACACATCCGAAAGATTTCCCTGCACCCAGTTACACGCGCCCACTCACACATGCATGTCGTGCACAAGACCAGTTTGTCCTTTGGAATTACTAGAGCCATATATGCCATTTATATAATGCATAAAATAGCACAGGGAGCATGTTTTATGGCTATTCTAAGTTCACATGTAAAATACAGTGTTGCTGCTACTGCAATATGAGGATCTTGCAAGAAGAAGGTTTTGTTTTTGTTTTTGTTGTTGTTGTTCCCCGCGCCCCAGCACTCAAATGTGATGTGCTGAATTCCTGCTTTAGTTAGCTAAGGTCACGGTAACACTTGCTTCAKGAGCTCCTCTTTCAGTTAAATAACAGTCTTATTCTCAAGGACAGCARTGACTTAAACCTAACAGAATTATTAACTCCATCAATTTCACTCCTTGTTTTGTAAAAACATTAATATTGGCAAATACMCATGATGGTTTTTGTTACTGCAAATTCCTCTGCACTGAGTTTTGTTTCTGCTGTCTTGTTAATTATGTAAACTTACAAGCGAAGTATGTTGGCATTAGTCTTGCACTGTATTTTAGATTCTTAAATAGCAAGTGGTCTCTTCATGGGATTTATTTATTTATCTTTGAAAGGCTTGAAAAAATGTAGATTCCTTTTGTTTTGCTGTTTAAATGCTGTTGGGGAAAACTCAATTACTTTCAAACAGAATGAAATTTGGAGGGGAACAACTGCTGTGTTGTTTACTTCACTTCTGCTTCAAATAAATCAGGTCTGCCCCCATCTCCCTCTGCCCGTCTACTGCTGGAACACGCTCCAGAAGTTTACACAGCTGCCAAAACCTTGATACTGCTAAGAGCAAAACTTTCCTCTAGTGCAAGCCACACAATTTGTCTTCGGTGGTTTCAATGAGTCTGTGTGTTTATGGTCATTGTGTCCAAAACCACATTTTTAAGAGTTTTTAAATAAAATTAATTAACCCTATTTCCTCATCCTCTGTGTTAAATCAGAAATAGCGAGACTGTAGTACATTCTTAAAGGAATTAGCTTAAGGATTTCTGGTTCCCTGAGAGCTTAAGGGATGCTGGCACTGATTCTATATTTGCAGTCACAAATATAGCCCTTACATCCTGAGGTGTGTAAATTTTAACTTCATTACAACAATGACGGTTTGCACTAAGGGAACCTGTCACGAGACCTTTCTTCAGTATTACAATCAATGCAAATTGATTGTAATTATTTCCTGCCATGTTCTCRAGAAGTATTTTATGGTTTTGGATCCTGAGATACCTTGAACTAATTACCTAGTAACCTACTGATCTATTTGCTATAAACTGCAGGAGCAGTTATTAACCTCTCTGTCAGATGGAGTGGCAAAGTGTTATTGATCTGTGTTCACTCCAGCAGGAGCAGGAAATAGAAACTAATGGTAAAACAATGTATTGGTGAGAAATGAGAGAGCATTACTCAGCAGGAGCAATTATTTGGTTTTCATCATTATAACAGCTTAAAATGCTGTGACGTGAAATCTTTTTATGCAGTGTTTCTTTCTCTAAGTCTTGAAGCTCAGTCCAGGCCCTGCTAGTCACTGGGAAAAGCTGTGCTGGCTTCAATGAGAGCTAGACCAGGATCACGCATTCTAACAGGCATTTCTTGTCTTTATGCTAACATTTCAGAACAAGTAAGTCCCTGCTGATTAATTACATATGGAAACAAATGCTTACTGCAACATATTTCAAGCTTGGTATTTTACAAAGTTCAAAGGAATAAGTAGCCTTTGTGCTGTGAAGTTTGTTTGCTAAATAATTGACAAAAGGGTTCTCAGTTATGCAGTCAAGTTGCAATGAGATAAGTGTGCCTATATCTTCATATATTTCTTGTTTAAATGCCAGTATTTTTAGTAACTGATGACACTTAATAAACTGGCTATAGCAATTTTGTTAAGAGCCAATTATGTGCTTAAACATAATCATATTTAATTATTAATAAACATGGCTTACATATGCTATTTTACATGGGGAAATTATAAATCTCAGTTTGTTGCTTTGATACAACTGTAATACTTTTAARTAAACTTTAAAATTTAAACTAAAACTGATACTTGAGACTTTAAAATGCTGAGATAGCATGTTGTAAAAAATTCTTTTCTAGTTTTGAATGTGTTATTTTAAAAAGCTTTCATGGCTTTTGCATTTCATGAAGGTTCTAATTGCTGAGGCAACATTTCTTTGCAATATCATATAATCACAGTATCATATAATCAAAATAATGAAAACAAAAACCCCTWCATGAAAATAGACATCTCAGAGGTACTTAGATGGTTAAAGATTAGATACTGAGATACTCTGAAGACCTGCGCTTCAGTGTTTAGATATTTTTCTAGATGAAACATGAATTTAATGTCATTTGCTTTCTGGAAAAGCAGTAATTTGAATGTTAAAAACTGTCTGTAGTGCAACTAATCTGCATTCCAAGTCCAGGTTAGAGTTAGTAATAACATATTTCATTGCAGAACTTTTACCTGTGGTGTTACTGCAAATAGCTATTTTGTGTTTAGTTCTRCATATACAAGGAATGCCATTGATGCAGTGCAAGAACTTGTGCAAGTCTCATTCACTTTCATTGGAGACACTAAGAAAGTTCAACCTCTGCTACTATTTATTGCTCCCATAGGCTAGGATTTCACTTTCCTCAATCTGAAGTTAGTTGCCCAGTTCCCCATTGCATTCCCTGAAATCAGAGTTCACAGACTGCCTTCTGTATTGGGAGGCAATAGTGAAGTGTCTAAGCAGAGTAAGTATAACAATTGGATAAAGAAATGAAAAGCAAGAAAAACTTTCTCCTTGAAGTGCAGAATCGTCAGTTAAATTAGTGAATACATACAGCAGTTTTGGTAATAGCTTTTTCTTTTACTTTGGTACACGATATTGGTGTCTTTTGTTTTTGGATTTTCCAATCCAGGCTCTTCTATGAACCCGTCACTACGCCTTGTGGGCACACGTTCTGTCTCAAATGCCTTGAGAGATGCCTGGATCACAACCCAAAATGCCCCTTGTGCAAAGAAGGTCTCTCAGAGGTAATTATGCCTGGATTTGGTCGGAGTAAATTAGAGCACAGAATAGGATCAGGTAGTACCTTCAGAAACCTCTGGTATTACCGAACTCTAAAGAAATATTACATAATTTAAGGAAAAAATTGACTTTTGGAATGTCCCGGGGACTAACAAAGTATGGATAATCTTCTCTCTTCAAACTTTTACAACTGTATTTACATTTGGAAGTTCTGGAAAGGGAAGCCAAATGACCTAGGGATTGGCTGAGACAAGGCCTGCAGCTTAGTGAATAGTTCAGTTAACATCTTCCCTGGTACTGCAAGCTTAGAGGATCATCTGTGTGTGCAACGGACATAGCAAAATGGAGCTAACGGGCAGAGGCCCTGTACTTTGAAATGCTAGACATTATCCCATAACTGCTTGCTTCTCCTTTTCTGCTGCAGTGCTTGGCTATGAGGAAGTACTGTAAAACRGTACTAATGGAGGAGCTGATAGCTAAATATCTTCCAGAGGAACTCACTGAAAGAAGAAAGATTTATGAAGAAGAAATAGCAGAGCTTTCCAAGTATGTAATCGATTTATTTAAAAACCAGTATCTAATAGCTACCAAATGGCTGCTGCTGCTGTGGAACATGAACAAAGGTGCTGACGAAGGAGCTTCCTGCTCTGTATCACATGATTCAAAGAGGACAGAGTCCAGATGAAATTGTGCTTTGAGTAGCGTTACTAGACACTCTGCTATATGATGAACAGAAGCAGAAGAGATTCAGGAGAGTTGCAGAAATCGATATTGTTTTTTGTGGCCTTTTATGAAAGCACCAGAATGAGAGGATGGGGGGGGAAGTGCAGCTCCACAGGCTGGGGATTGGAAATGACTGTGTAGAGAAGAAAAGGGATTAAGGAGAGTAAAATACAGTAAAAATAATAGTAGTAAAAGTGTTAATAAATTTCTATCAAAATGAGAAAGTGTAACAAAGTCATTCTGCTAAAAACACTGGAATATCAATTTGCATTTTATCTAGCCAGACATCAATTTCAGATGAAAATAAAGATTTTTAAATACACTGCAATTTCACTTGTATGTATTTTATCTCTGCGATATTTTGGTAAAATGTCATCTCTGTTTTTTCATTCCTTACAGCCTAAATAAGAATGTTCCTATATTTGTCTGCACAATGGCTTATCCTACAGTCCCGTGCCCTTTGCACATCTTCGAGCCGTGTTATCGACTGATGATTCGCCGGTGCATGGAGACTGGCACCAAACAGTTTGGGATGTGCATCAGTGATCCTGTCAAGGGGTGAGTGAGCAACCTGCTTGGACCATGTCCTCTACTCACTTGGTCCAGGGCAAGTTGTTTCAGAGGAAGGTGCAGAAAGGTCTTTGCTTCTAGATATTTATGTGATAGTCTTCCAATAGAGCAAGTTTCTTTCTAATGATGACAGTCAATGACATTGAGAAGATCAAAATTTGCCTCTTGAGCACTTGGATCCTGTCTAGTATGACCGCCCGTTGCTTTGAAACCTACAGCTACAACTAGCATATATTATAACAGGTTAAACTGAGGAAAGTTTGCATATTTCATTAAATTCTAATACTCTGAACTGCACTGTTTTTTTTATACAAAATGGTGAAATATTTCCAGATATAAACATTGGGGAAAGTCTACTTAGCCATGTAAAATCTGCTTTATTTTAAGAAATTCCATGTATTCCAAGTGCTGATTAGATCAGATAGTCTGAATCTTCCTAATAGTTTTGAATAGTTTTGAAAACAATTGTTAATAATTTGAGCTATAGCAGGACAGTACTGTGAGCAATATAAATAGAAATGAGTTGACCCTGATAAATACCTTTGTGGTATTGAACCAGCTGCAYGGCAGGCTTAAGAGTGGAGAGAATAAGGCTTTTTTACTTGCTTTTGTTCTGATTTAAATAGGTTTGCAGACTATGGCTGCATTCTGGAGATAAGAAATGTTGAATTCTTTGCTGATGGTCGCTCTGTTGTAGACAGCATTGGCAAGAGGAGATTTAAGGTGATACAGCACAGCCAGCGTGATGGCTATAATACAGCAGATATTGAGTACATTGAGGATCAAAAGGTGAGCCTAGAAACACTTTATATAAAGCATATTAATCTGAAAATCTAAATCATCTTATTTTCAGTGAGTTCCTTTCTTGTTGAGCAATTTTCTTCTAGTAAAGCAAACTGTGGTATTTACTAACTGGTTGTGGTTAAAGATGGGGGCAGGGGGAAAAGTATGTACCTTGTGCACATAAGCACAGCATTTTTGGCAGAATGCTTTCTTTAAAAAAGATGAACCTGCATGAGATATGACTGCTGTTCTAGATCACGTTTTTTTTGTTGGTTTTTTTTTGTTTTGTTTTGTTTTTTGTTGATGTTGGTGGTGGGTTTTTTTTTTTGAAGTCTGTAACATAGACACAAAACCAGGCTCTGTTTCTCATGGAAGCCAATTGGAAAGCTTCCATTTAGGTAAGTGGGAGCAGGACTGAGCCCATTACAGCTTTTATGTTATTTATATTATTCATTTTTAAATAAGCAAAGTATTCTGGATGATGTATCTTTTACTGTATAGTGGTGAGACAGATCTATTCTAAGGAGTCTAAATTTAAAAAAAAATTGCACAAAGCTTTTGTTCTGTGCTGGGTAAATGGGATATTTACATAAAGGTGACTCCTCTCTTTACTCATTTCAGGTGCAAGGACAGGACTATGCTGCATTACTTGTTCTCCACGATTCAGTCTACGACCAGGCGTACATGTGGTTCAACTCGCTCAAGCAGGCACTCAAAAGTCGAATTCTCAGTCACTTTGGTCCAATGCCAGCTAAGGATCCTGACCCACAGGTATCCAGAATCAATGGTTTATAGAACTTCTTTTTTGGACAGAAATCACAGAATAAGCAATAAGGCAGGAAGCACATTCTTTATATGATGAAAATGGGAACCCTATAAATTGCTGCTAGAAATAGAAGAGTCGTCTCCCCCCACCTTCCAGATCCTATTTTAAAAAAGGTGCAGCTTGGCTCTAWCTTTTGTTTCAGGCCACCCTGCAATTGCAAGCCATTAGGTTGGTGGTTAGATGGCAATTTAGCAAGCAGATTATCAAAATACTGTCTCAAGTTCCTCAAAAATAAGACCTTGTTCTCTAAAGAACCTAACTTCTGCTTTCCTCCCTTGCTGCAGGCTAACCCTAATGGGCCAGCATGGTGCTGGTGGGTCCTAGCTGTGCTTCCACTTGAGAACAGAGCTCAGCTCCCTTTCCTTGCCATGAAATCCCTCAAAGACCGCTTGAATGGCATCAGACGTGTCCTTACGTTCATGTCTCGTACAAGATCACGGTGATGGTGAGGAGGAGAACTGTGAAGTCTCCCACAGTACTTGACTGTAGAGTGTCTCTTGTGACTTCATCTAACTGCAATAATGTCTTACAGCTCTGAGTGTCAGGATGTTTCAAGCCTGAATTTCAAAGAAAATAAGTTATAAAGCTCAAAGGATATTTGTGGATGTTTCAAAAAAATTCCTTTTGGAACTCTCTCTGAGAAGGTTATTCAATCACTGCACTGCTAAATTAATAACAAATGTGATAGAACAAAAAGTGATCTTGTTTGCCATAAACCTTTTAAAAAGCTTAAGAGGTTTTTTAATTTATTTTATTTTTATTTTTTGTAGTGGATAAAGGAAATTGTGCAGTTTAACGTGAAGCAGAAATAACAATGTTAATGCATTATTTCAGTGAACTGCAAAGTCTTTTATTCCAAATGGTTCAGGTTTTATATAGCATTGTGTAAAATAATGTTCACAACTTCCATTTGATAATTTATTTTTGCACTACGATTTTTTTTGTTTCAAAATGTATATTATTTATGTGTACATTCTCTAAAGGAAAATGAGTTGCTCTATTTATTTATAGTGTTATTACCCTGTATTTATGACTGGGGAGAAAACAATATTAGCAGTGCACAAGCAGCTGCTTTGGTCTTTTTCCTTTTTTTCGGTATATTGTGTTCAAATCCTTTGAATGTTTCCTTACTCATCCCCAGTTGTACTGCAGCCTAAGAAGGATTGTTTTCCCTGAAAACTGAAGCTGTCACTCCCCACAGCCTGTCTGCGGTAACTCCAGCCTAGTTGTTAGAGCCTGAGCACTTGCGACTTGGTCCTTGGTATCACAAAACAGCTGAGCATGTGCTTAACTTTAAGCACGAGCGTTTAAGTGCTTTGCTGAATTCAAGTAGTGATTTCCGTGGGAACTGGCCAGAGTGGAGATTGAAGGATCCCCCTTCCTTAAGATTCCGCAAAGCGGAGAATAACTTGGAGTTGGTATCTGAACCCTTTCCTACAGGAAAGGGTAATGGCTACTGCAGTTGTTAGGAAAGAACCACACTATTTGAGAAGTGACTCCTCCCAAAAGAAAAGATTTGGAGCAATTTCTTGTGGGTTATTACATAGATTCTTTACATGATTTCTTTACATAAAGCCTTTATGCTGTTAATTTTTTTTTTTTTTTTTTGTGAGATCTGGTTTTATGGGAGAAGGTGGGGAAGTTGCTATGAACTAAAGGACTCGGAGGGCAATGTGTGCCACATGAGAAGGACTGTTTTAATAAACATGCTATTTATTTCACCCCAATCTAAAGGTTTCTGTTAGCTTCCAATCTACTCAGCTGCTGCAGTTTCCTTAGCAGAGATTAGGTAGCATTGCTAACAACAGCTAGTGCACAAGAACAAGTGGATTTTAGGGAGATCTCTTATAGCTATAAGGCAGGGAAAATAGCAGTAACTTGGTTTTGGTTTTAAAATAATATTTCACTACTTTTTTATTGCTTTTTCTGCTGATTTTTGCTGATTGATCCTGCCTCCAATAGGATGAATTTGATTTTCACTGATTTCAGTGCAATCAGGATTGGGTCTTATATTCTAATCCATTTCCCTTTCAGTGGAACAACAAATAGCTTAAAATGAAATCTTGTGGAGTACTATAAGTTTCTTTATTACTTTTACCCAGAAAGGCACTGTTTGCTGTTCCATGCCTTTATGGAAAAATACAGTAGAATTTAATGTTTTTTTTCCGTATGGTTTTTTGTACCATTATAATATCATCAGAAATATTTACTAGTTAAGAATAATTGCTGTACCACTAAGCTTCAATAAAACTGTTTCCTCTCTTGTTAAATTCTATAGGACTTTTCCATAAGGGTACAAAGCAACTAATGGAACTTAAACATGTTTCAACCTGATGAAGGAATATGTGTCCTGTATTTGCATTTAGTTACTCTAGAAATGCTGCAGCTCGTTTCCATTCTGCTAGGCTGCTTCTCTGTTTTCTGTAGTTGATACYTTACCTGCTTCTCTGTGAACAATGTATAGAAATACATACACATTCTGAACAAGTGTGATGGCTGAGACCTGCTATGGCATTTATCTTCATAAGTCAATCATTAAGTGATTTTTGTTTGTTTTTTGTTTGTTTGGAAGTGAAGCTGCATTAAATACAATTCTTCCTTAAAGCATTATGTATTAATGCATAATATAAGGAGCCCGTATTGCTCCTAAAGAAATAAGCTGGCATTTTTTCTTTGTATCTGTGAGAAAAGGACCTTAAATATCTCTCATTTTTAGATTTCTTCACTGATCTTTCCTGTGTGATCCATCTTCTAGGTATTTATATTCTGCCCATTTTGTTGATTTTAAAATTGCCATGGGAGTAATCGTTAATCTTTTAAGTGATTTTATTTAATTTTAATTAGCCAGGGGTAAACCTGCCAGAATTTCCTAAGCAGAATTTTGTGTCCATGCACTGTGGTCATGCACGGCCACTGCATCTGTCGCAGCCTGGAAACACATAGTGCATGCAGGTGATTTGCACGTGCRGAGGAGATCCCACACACTGAGCAGGCTGATGTGCCTGTGCACAGCAGCAGTCTGTCTGGGACTGCTCTGTGGCCAAGCATCCTAGACCAACGTATAGTGTGTGCAAAATCCATTTGAGGGAAAAAAATGAGGAAAAAAACTGCTGGAACAGACAAACCTGTTCAGGAAAAGCTGGATGAAGAGTAGGCTTAGCCTTTGGTGAGTTAAGCTCATAACTCAGTAATGAGGTTTTAAAACAAATCTTTGAATTATATCACAGCATTGTTGATTTTTTTCAATTGTATTAATTAGAAGCATGAATAAACAGCTGAATAGATTTTTTAAAATACCTTCACTCTATAGATAAAGCATTGGTCAGATAAGATGCTAATTGGGGGATATTTTATTATGCTTCTCACAGTGTTCTAGAGATCCATTTGTCCAATACTGTGTCTTGCTGAAGAAAATCATGACTCACTTTTCTTGGGCAGCCAGAAGTACTGATCAGTCTTTGTTGTCAGGGCATAAGCAGCTCAGCTTTTTTGCTAGTCCTGCATTGAGGTTACTTTTCACTGACCCCTAGATCACTGAGTTAGGATCACTGAAAGCAATGAAATTTTTGTGATTCCATAGAAATGTGATCGGTCCCTCTTAAAAGAAGAAAGTAGAAAAAGTCACTCCCCTGCGAGACAGGGAGAAAAGGCAAGAAAAGGCTCAAACTATAATTAAATAATCACCAGTCTCCAGGAGCATATGACGTCTTAAGCCACCTGAAATCTCCTGGAGGCTCCTTGAAAGCTCTAGGCTTCCATTTGTGAGATAGTTTTGTTTGTGAAATCTCTTCACTCTTCTGTAAGTGAAGTATTTAATGCAAATACATTAAAATAACAAAGGCTGGCTATGTCACCTTTCCAAATATTTGTGTGTGCGTGTATGGTTTCCAATTAAAAACATTCTCTCAGATGAGTATTATGTCCTCCAGAGAACTTATTTATCATTCTCATGTATAGAGCAACATCTGACAGTTGTGGTGGCTTTCCTTTGCTTTATATGCTACTTTGTCTAGCAATAACTTAAAGGAAAATATTTCTGTGAAAATAGTTTTCATCTTGGCTGGCATGACTTGCTTGGAAATAAACTTGAGGTAGGAGTGGATTCATCGGGGGGTGGGAAAAAATTAAGCGTGAGAGTGGTCTCAGATACAGTTGTAGCAAGTAATTTAGTAGTGTTAATGAAATGCTAGAATGGCCTGGATGTAACTGACATTCTGGTGTTACTTGTAACCGAGTTCTCCTTGCGATGTTATTTTTAATTTCTTCTCTTCCTCTAGCCGGTAGCAATAAGAAATACCCTGTGTCATACTGAGTGGCTGACCTCCTCCTGGGCCTGTGCTTCCGTCCCGTGGGACTGACTGCTCCCTARCAGAACACCTGAACCACTGACTTCTTAACCCAAAGGTTATTTTAATCTTTGGAGGAGTTAGACAGGGGGGAAATAAAAGTTTGGATTTGGCTTTAGYGTTTAGTTTTATGCTGCATACTAAAGAATAGATAGGTTAGTGAAAAATCAAGTTTTGTGGTTTAGATGGTGATTTAGTGGTTTTTACCTGGTGCTGCTGGCATTTTACTAGTGCTCAGGACAGCAGCTGTGTTTCAATATAACGTTTAGGAATGGAGAACTTCTTTTCAAACCTCTCCCTTAGTTCTCACTTATCAGTTTCACCAGCTGACCTATGCCTGGTGCAGCACAGAGTTGAAGGTGTGCAGATCTGGGGTCTCTTCCAAAGCCCAGTAAATCACTGGAAGACTTACAGTGATAAAAAGAAGGGAAAGTTTCAGTAAAGTCACTATTCTGAGGCAGATTTCTAAATAAATACTATCTGGGAACAAGAAACTAATCTGCTTAGTCAAGATTAAAGTGATGGATAATAAAAACTGAACTATTACTCTCATATGAAGTGCTTACTAATGTCAGAGTTTCATAAGGTCTAAATTAACCCTCACATACAAGTGCCTGTATTATTGGTTGCCATTCTTGAGCTTTTTCAGAAAGTCATAGCCATATATTTTATAAATATATATAAACACATGCACCTTTAAGTCTTTATATTAAATTAGCAGAACAAATGTTTCCTACAGAGCAGAAGTGTAGCAAAAATAAGGTAATAGCTTCTATAACTAAGGTAAGGTAAGGCAGAAGTACAGAAGTAAGGAGGAAAAGACTGTCAAGATGTCTTAATATGGCAACGTACAATTGTCCACTTTAATTGCATCAAGCTATGTGGTTACAAGAGTGCCAGAAATATATCAAGCCATTTTAAATTAAAACATATTTTTGTGGGCTTGTGTATTCCATTTGTTTGTAAAAACATCTTTTTTTGTGTATTGTAATGAACTTGAAAAAAGTTATACTCTTATATCACTGAACAGAGAACTGTTCAGCTACCTCTACATAACATTGAAGTACTTTCTTTTCCAAATTTGTTCACATTGTCATATACAGTATCTTTTTAAAAAGAAATCATAGTCCAAAGAACCTGTATGTGTTTGTAGATGTACTTATAACTATGTTGTACTGACAAAGTCTGTGTGGAGAGTTGTTTGCTAATTAAAATTTTTGTGTTCTTTGCTCTTTGGCTCTCATAAAAGAATCGCAAAGATGGACACACTGAATAAACATGACAATTACATCACTCAAACAGGACACGAAAGCAGTAAAAGAAAACTTTAGCTTAAGATAATCATTCAGATGCATTCTGAAACAGATTTGTCTGGTATCTAGGAATGCTCTTCCCGCTGTGCTCTCACTCTGACTGCTGCAGTTAAATATGCAAGTCACTTAAAACTTTGCTTTAACAGGCACGGTTGTTCAGTGTGCTGTAYTAACTGAGAGGGCTTCCTCTGTGTTACGATAGCTCCCTAGACTTTCTGT